TTACTTGAAAAAAAAAATCTTATTTATGGCTACTAAAAGAGTAAATTACGTGAGTAAACCAAGACCTCAGAAAGGTATTTATTTTTTTTCCCAGTCAAGTTACAATCTCTAATGCTGTATTTATTTCCCTTTATAACCGGCACATTTCTTTTACACATTTTAAAAAATAATTTCTTTAATTTATTAAAATATATTTTATTATTTTTATGCTTTAAGATGTTTGTATTGCACTGTGTGAAGCCAACACAACCACCCACTATTAAGGCTTCCTTTAAAACTTTATATTTGGTTGCTTATATCATTGGGAAATTATATCTTTTCCCTAAGGGGCAGTCCAGGCATGACAATTTTTATCACAATCCTCATTATTCTGTTATTTTTTATTAAGCCCACAGGGTCAAATGAATCCCAAGAACAGAGCTTGGAGGGAATGGAGAAGTTCTCCATTCTGAACACGAAGGGCCCAGCCCTCTGCAGGAATGGATCCTGCAGGGCCTACCTGGTCACAAGGTCTTGATTCTCTGTGCCTCAACTCTGAAATAGGACCCTGACCTATTTTAATCCCACATGAATGCTGTGAGGAGAAATTAGTCTGTATGGCACGTGGATAGTGTGAGGAGTAAGCTGCAAAGACTTGGAAGAAATTAAATATCCCTGTCTTCAGAAAAGAGTTGAACTGAGAGCAAACTGTGATATACCTGCTCCATTAACTGAGTTCTGAAACCTAGAGAGACAGCAAAACAAAACAGAACGTGATCACATAACTACCGACTTTATCATACTGCACCAAGCGGGGGGAAATTAAGGTTACACTGGTAGCTTTAATATTAATGTTACCCAAGTTCAAGCGTGTGACCTAGCATCTCTAATAATATTATTTTAACATAATTTTTAATGTGTAATTACTTATACAGCTCCAGACAGTAGGTGTGCATGATGCTTTACAAGCATATAAAACTGACTGATCCCTGCCCCAAGGAGCCTGCGTGATGACACCACACGCGGGATGGGAAAGGAGGGGGTATGGGAGGACAGGAGTTGCAACAGTGTGAGATCATGAGATGTGTTTACTGCTACGTAAGCAACATTTCAGCTTCTCTGTGGTTTTCTTGTTACTCATTTAACACTATATATTAAAATTTGTTGAACAGATACATAGCACACTGAAATCAGCTGTAAGGAAGGATATGAAGAAGGAGAACCATGCGGAGCACCGGTCAGTTTGCAGTTAATATTAAAACGTTCACTGTCAGGCACTGTGTGCAGTCAGCTATTCACATGGTGGCAGCCCTCTGCATCTCCAGCTGCTCTACCAGGCACTGCACAGAAGCACCACGAGAGAGGACAGCTCTGTGCACACTTTCACTTGGGAAGCAGTAAGTGGCTGCAGGGGACACAGACAGACAGAGCTGGTGCAACAGGTTAGAGGAGGCAGAGCCAAGAGCAGACCTACACACAGTCTTTTGACATTCAATTTGATGCTCTACATGCTACCTATCTAATATGCATATTTGGATTATAGTTATTCAAACAAAATATCCCCAAAGAAGAAAATAAAATAGCCCAAAAGAAGAGTGTACCTGCAAGTTGCTTCATGGACTAGAAAATAATACCCTAGTGGAAACCCCTAGTACTGGGACATTTTTAGGTAAACCTGTTTTGGTTTTGTACTTCGGGAACTTCAAGATACTTCAGGAACTGTGTTGCCACTGTGAAGCCAGTGATAGGGACAATTCTGATCTGGCCAGATATTACACACTGCTGTGAAGAGACAAACCCACGGCACGATGAAGAGTGCTCCCCCAAAAGCTCAGAGCTTTCCTTGGCTTCAGCAGCACAGGAGCGAGGTGCAGACACGGGGCAAAACTCTCTGCTATGATTTTCTAGGGCTGCCAGGCATTCCTGCTACACAGAGACCACCCAGACCTATGTGATTCCTGAAACTCAACAAAAAACGAATTAAAAGTAAAAATGCAATCAACTACAGAAAATACTGTGGCAAAATATTCTTGATGGTTCATTGATGGACAGAGTAAGCCTTTGTATTAAACCTACATAAGACCTTTAGATTTGATCCTTCTTTTCACTGATTCTTCACAACACACCTGCAAAATAGCACTTGCTCTTTCTTTAAAGCCTCATCCCCTTCTAAATATTATTTGATTCTACTTTAAGAGCACTTTTCATTACTCACACAGTATAATATGGTTTTAATATAAAGAATTATAAAAGCCTATGAATTACTTATTCCACAGGACAGTGCTAAGCCAAGATTTCGGTCAGCTTACCATTTACAGTGATAAGCTAAATATCTGTTATTTATTAGCTTTTTTTCCAAAGGCTGGTCCAAATTAGTCCCTAAACGAAATTTCTGGCTTCAGTGGAGCTCAGACTTAAGGAGGACGCTTGATTCACTGCTGCTAACTACTGTTACTCTCAGCTGTGACATGTTCTCCAAATATCTTTATTTTCCTTTTATAATTGAGTTTGATCATAGTACATTGACTGACAGAATATAATAGTAATTGTTAAACTCCATGTATAATTTTCCTCTAAGTTTTGTAGCTTATGAAATGTACTTAAAACTCTGTATATCATGGTATCAGTTACTGACATGAACAACGCATTTTACCTTGAGCAGCGATTCATGAGGCTGGTTTGGCCACAAAAATAGTCCTTGATCATCAGAAGAATCATATACAGTCTTAGAACTCCCAAGAGATTTTACCAGTGGGATGGGGAGGGCTAAGAACTCGGTAACTGATGTTCTCCAGATTTAGCTATACTCAAAATTCTACTCAGAACCGATTCCAGTTCCCTTAAAACAAGGTTTTCATGGGTTTTGAATAGCTCTAAAAATATATAGGCTGCTACCACTTCTTTTAATCAAAAACAAATATCTTCAAAAAAAAATCCCTGCATTTTTTCCTCTGCACTAAGGAAGCAGATTTTGGAAACTTAGCAATTTGACCTCAAAAAGAGCTAATAATGCACAATTTCCAAACCTGGCTTGTTTACAAACATAAGTTAAGGGGGCAGGATTAACAGGATTTAGTTTCAAACACTGCAAGAGCATTCAGCTCAAACGCTTGAAAGACAACACTATCAGCATCTCCGCTGTGGCAGTCCAGAGACCGCCAGAAGACTAAAATCAGTCACAAATGTCCAATGCCCTGAAGTTGATCTGTAATAATTTTACTGCCCCAAAGCCTGAAGAATACTGCATGTCCCAAGCAGGAGAACCATCCATTCCTCCAGCCTGGCTGGATCCCTCTGCCCACCAGCCTGCGACGCTTCCCCCAAATGAGCGTCACGTGCAAAGCGGCTGAGGGCGCGCTGCCTCTCACTGTCCCTTTGTCTCCCTTATTGCAAAGTCTGCACATTTGTTAGCAAATCTGAATCTCAGTCCAATGGAAAAATGTCTACCTTTCACTGATGTGAAAAATACGGAAAACACTAACTTTCAAGCGCTAGCATATTATTTGGTTATAATGGCCTCTTTTATTGAACTAAAATACAGGACAAGTCCCAAATATTTTCCACTGATCAAGATTGCTCTTCAAGGCCATTTCTTTGATGCCTTTATTGAACATTATGGTAACTTCTATTATTTTTCCTGGATGTGCATGTGTTTTTTCCAGTTTGGATCCTGCAGTTTGGAGGAAAGTTGGGATTGCTTAATTATCTTACAAGGCCTGATCTATGTCTACAGAAATTAATAGGTTGCTTTTTTTGGATCAGGTCTGGAATGTTAATTGCAGCTACTATATTAGTCTAGCCTATATAAGCCTCCATATAGACACTGCACAAGGATCTAAGAAATTTTAAAAGGCCAAACCACAGGGAAGAATGCATTGTTAAGCAAGTATCTAAATGAGACTTGACCTTGTCCCTGTTGACACTGATGGGAAAAGAAAAGCCCAAAGATCATTCCATTAGGGTAAATACTGACTTTGGCCTAATTTGTCCCCTATTGCATGATCCAAAATGAAGTTCTCCTTCAGAAATGTGTGGAAGGAAATAACTAGGTCATGATACATACGCTTATGAAGGGCCTACAGATTAGCAGCTGAATGGAGAGAGACCAGAAAGCACAGACTTTGTGTCAACTGAGAATTCAGAGGAATTTCTGGCCCCTATCCCATGACTCTGCAGCATCACACAGACTGGATCCCTGTGAGTACCACCAGGCCACCCTCCTTGCTTCAGGCACAACTTCCTATTTGGCAATTTTTTTATTTGCAAAGTCCTATAAATTCTGGGTTGCCTTTGCAGCCCTGCCACCAGCTATGTGAATTTTGGCAAACAAACACTGTCAGAGTCACTTGTGCTTGCAGGCAGTTTCTAGTTAAATATCAGGTTCTTGCACTTTCTTGCAAAAACTTCAGGAAATAGTTTATTTATTTATTAAAAAAAAAAGGTGGAATATGCTGAAAAGAACACCACAGGTATAACAGCAATGGATGTTAGCAGCAGTAGAGCATATATGCATACCCACAAACCAAATCCTAAATTTCACTGGATACAATCCTTCCTTCCCTACCTAGCTTTAAGTGGCTTTATTCTTTCCATCTTATGCTTGCATCTAAATCTGACCTGCAAGTATTTTTTCCAGTTCCACATACAATAAAATTTTAAGTATCTCATGTGTTGATAGCACAACATGATGAGATACTTAAAAACTTGAAACCAAACTCGAGCAAAACCATTTCACACTTTTCGTTAAGAAATAACTCTGGAGGGCAGTGGCCTTGTGGCAAGAAATGGAACTACAAGTTCAAACACAAAAGTGACCTTTTTTGTAGCCTCTTGCTACAAGCATGCCACCGGAGGGGATGTGGCACTGACCTTTTGCACTGGGAGGAGTTGCTTAGCATTGGTACTGGTTTATGAAAGTGCAGAAGACAGTAAAAGAAGTTGATTTTGTGATGTAAGTGACTCCCCCTGCAAGGGGGACATGCCAGGTATTCCCAAAGGGTCATCCGTGAACGGATTCTCACCTCTCTGGGGTGCTGTCGGATGCCACGTTGTCGGAGCAGGCAGCCCCAGCAGGGCACAGCTCTCTGCCACACGCTGGGTCTGCCTCAGCGGAGTCCGGGCAGCCATTGACCCACTTGTCTCTCAACTTGACACTGCCGTTCTGTGAATCCAAAGACACGATGTCTGACGGGGAGCTCACGACACCAGAGTCCTCGGTGGTGTCCTCAGATGCAAAACAGCTGCTTTCTGATGCTGTTTCTTCTACCTCTGACAGCTCCAGAACCACGTCATCGACTGCATAAACATTATCATGTGCAGGCTGCAGGCTCTCTGAATGAAATACAGCAGAACAAACAAAAAACCCCACAGAGTTAGTTGAAACTCACTAGTAAATAAATCAAACCTCCCAGAGTGAGATCCTGAAACCACTGAACTCAATGGGTGTTTTGCCACTGACTTCATCAGTTCCAGACCTCTACAACATTCATTACTTTGTATTTGGATAAAAATTCATTAATTGCATAATTATGGAATTAATATGGATGGATGGAGCTCAGTATTTGTATAAATGATAAAGATGATTTGCAAAATAATAAAATTTTGCTCTCAGGTTTTAGAAATATGGCTTGACTTACTTGTCCTGTAAAATTTAGGTTTTATAACATTCATATCAAATCTGTTACCTTGTTCTCTCACGAACTAACTCTCCAGAGACAGTTTCTTGGAGGACTGGAGAAATAGGAGCTTTCAGCTTCCTCAAATTAAAGGGCAGAAAAATAAATTTAACTGAAAAGGTAGGAATGACATAAACAAAAACCAGTAATAAAAAAAGGCAGAAAAAAATCAACTTCAACAATAAACCAAAGTTCAAATGCTGCACTCAAAAAAAAAAAAAAAATCACTCTTACCACTTCTGATGAGCCAATCTTATTATCTTATTACATGGTAGCAAATATATCATGACATTTTTGATAAGAAGTCTGTAACAGGTAAAAATAGGGGACCATATCTCAATTAGGATACTAAATTGGTAAATTGGATCTATTGCTAGTTCACTGAGTGAACTGCTACTTCACCACTGTTTAATTTCTTCTGTTGTTAAGCGGGGAAAACAACTGCCATCTCATATCTCTGTATGCACCAGTAAAGCACACAAAATCAACTAAAACATGTTACAGAAAATTAGACACTATTATGCTGAAAACAAAGGGAACCTTTTCCATTTTAAAGTTGTTTGTAAGGAAGAAGATGAAGAGATGTGAACTTTGCATGTTTAGCTGTGTTAAAGTTGCAAGTGACGAGACCTGCTCAGACACTGCACGAATTTTTTACGCTGCGCTTTAATTTGATGCCTACTGGCTTTTTTTGTTGTGAAAAATGTAATTTTGCTATTTCCCTTGGCAAATGTACAAATACAGACTCCATGCTGCAATTATGCCGGTAAAGGGGAACTCTCAATAATATCAATAATTTCAGAAAAAAAAAAAAGAATACAATCTCAAGCCCAGAGATGCTTTTTTGATCAAAAGGAATCAATAAAGATGAATAAATGCACGTTTAATTTGAAATTATGAATGTACTCCATTTTCTTCTGCAAACTCAGTAAGCAAAAGAAAGCTTAAACAACATATGTTATGGTCTGATCCTGCAAACTCTTGTGGTGGATGTTAATTACAGGAGAAGTCTCAGGTCTCTAAGCATGATTATGAGTAAGCCTCCACTTAACTGCTTGCAGGATCACAACGTGCAAGTTTTTCAAGTATATATGAATCGACAAGCCAGTAGAAATAGCAAAGAGAAAAAAATCTATTACGCTGCATATATAGAAGTATTTTCTTTAAAGTCAGAGGAAAAATATGTATCATAGAAATTATTTTAAGATGCACTTCAGCAGGGAAGCTTTGTGTAAAATTAAAATAAAAATGAAACTAACATTCTCCTTGACTGAGGTTACAAATGCCATTAAGTGCTGAAATTGATTTCTGACAGCAGAAGCAATAAAATTCACAGGGTTACAAATCACAATTGAAGTTGTAAATGCTGTCAAGCATCAATATTAATGATGGAAGATGATACAAAGACTCTATTGTGACTTTGGAAGAAACGTTACTTGATTTCTTTGACCTTAATTTCTACAACATTAGCTCTAGGTTCCAGATTTAAACCAAGCAATCATTCCAACTAAAAATATCAATTAAAAGAACAAAGTATATGCCACTGAATGCATTATGGCATACTTATGACAGAACGGCTGTTAGGAAAACAACTCAGTATCAAGAAAAAGTAAGAATTATTTGACATTAATCATAGCCACAAAAATATACAGTAAACAGACAACAGTGTACAGTCATTGGTTAGTAAAAGCTATAATATGTTAAAAATAGAATAAAGTGAGATATGGTATAGCAAAGAAAGCAATTTAGAGAATAGGAATCCTTGGAAAGTTTTGAAGTAATGCACAATGCAGTGTACCTTGATGCAGAGACCTCTACATAGTAAAGGCCACCATTAATTAGCCCCACACATGGCTGGGGCAACAGTTTGTATCACATTACCCACCTCCAGACCCAGACAGGGATGCCAGGTTTTCCCTCCTGAGCTGTCTCTCTCATCTCCTGATCCTCTTCTCCCTCGCCTAGAAGTATTTTTTGATGTAGAAGAATTTGCCTTTTCCCATTCAGGGATTTAATACCTTTTAGTCACACAACCCTACTAGCCTACTTGGTTAAAACAACTCTCTTATTGATGTTATCCAGCAAGTTCAACTACAGGACGCCTGCCCATCCCTTCTTTCCATATAGCAAAAACAACAACAGGAGAAAACAGAGTCTCATAACATCAGGGTCTAGAACCGATCTATCAGCATTAAATCTCTCTAGCTGCACCATTCAGTCCAATGGCAGATCTTCCTTATTCAACGTCTTAAACTGCAATTCTATTCTGAAGCACAGCAATGGAGAGAGGAATCTTTATATTAAAAAGTTTGCACAAAACCAAAACAATTTTCGTTCTTCAAGTCTACCAGTTTGCCAGGGCAGTGCACTATACACTTGTGATAGCAGTACAGTGAATTAATTTCCATACTACTCATCCAAACAGGAGAGAGCACACACAAAACACGAACCTATGTCATGTTAACAACCATGTTTCAAATAACAGCAGCAAGAAAATACCCCTATTTTAAAGTGGAGACATCCTCAGGTAGATGAACTAAGATTGTTCTTCCTTCCATTCGCTAAGTTTCCACGAGTGTGAACAGAAGATGATGGGCTGCACGAGCGCTCAGCTTGCTAACTAATGACACACAACATGAAAAAACCCTAGCTGAGTGGTCCTGACTTTGGGAGTCAAAAAATATCTTCCATAGCTTCCCGATTTGTGCATAGAAACAATGTATAGTAGTGGATGAGATTTTGCCTTGCAAGTTTTGCAAAATTTTCTCCAGAAGGAAAAGCAGAAGACCACACACTGAGCACAGTGTGATCCCCACAATGCCAGCTGACTGATGTTATTTGTTTTTAAAAGAATCCCAGCATTTGTGTCTCTCTTCTCTGCCATTACATTAAGATTTTAGATATGGTCTCTGATCTCTGAGATCTTATGCAGGCAAAAAATACCCATCTGACAGACAATACTAAACAAGCAGTTCAGGACTGGGCAAATGGACACACGACTAATGATTGCCACAGATATATTAAAGCTGTAATATTACTGCTGAAACAACGCTGTGCCTCAGAAGATTACTTCTAAACACATAAAAATACCAAGCTCTTCTTCCAGCAAGCTGTAACCAAGTCCATTGGCTTCAAGTGGGCTCCTATGCTGTAAGGGGAATGCAATTTGATTTGTAGTTCTCTCAAATTTCTGTGTCGTCTCATTCCTGTCTGCGATGAGACAGTGCCCAGCAGCGTCCTGCATGCATTCCCACTTACCTACACCACACAGGAGGTTGCAGAACTGGCAAAGCTCAAATTAGTTTCATCCCCCGGATCCCCTTGCTTAGCTGTAAGAGCAGTGCGGCTGCACAATTAGGTCAACCACAAGTTACAAAGGCTTTCTTCTGGGGGGCCGAGGGGGTTGTTTTTAGGAAGTTGCCTGTGATCACCAGGAGGGAAAGAGGAGCACAGCTCATCAGCAAAGAATGCGAGCTTCTTGTTTAACACAAAAGCCATCTTGTCACTTTAATCTCAATATGCTGTAAGTAATTAAGACGCCGCTGAACTCGGTGCTGAGAAGAATCCTATCTGTGTTGAGGCAGTTTGATACCGCGTGGACGTACACACCGCTCAGCGCGAATGCCCAGGATGGGCACGGAGACAATTCGCACCTGGTTTAAGTGCTAAACGCTGTCAGAAATGAAGGTCAGGCTACACGCTGTATGGGAAGACTACTGCAAGTAAAATCCTTGCTTTAATTACGAAGAAAATAACCACCATGGACTTTGAATGAGATCAAAAGGTGACTTAATGTGCTCTAAAGATATATATCCCACCCAGACTTATGAATTCTAAATCAAAGTCCTTGTTACTAAAGCCTAAGCCAGCATTCTCCCTGAATCCAGTGGGCACAAGGCACAATTCCTTCCTTTCCAAGTTACAACTGTTTGCTAAGTTCTGTGACATTCTGTTTTTAGTTTAAATATTCTGTTTTTCTTTGATGCCACATTCAGTAATCACAGAAATTGCAAATCTAAACACATTTTTAGAGGAAGAATAGTCTATTTAACCCCTGCATAGTGAATAACTGGGACTTTCTAACAATTTGAGACATAGAATTTCTGTAATTCCTTTCAGCTCTTGTTCGGAGGTTAGCAACTATTCTCAGGTTTCATCACCTGTTGCACTTTTTTCTCCATGTAGCAAAGTTGTTTTGCGGTAGTTTAAATGGCCTATTACAGTTACACTGTAAAAAATATTAAAAACATCATTATGTTAAACAAAATTAATTTTTATGACCTCAATATTACAACATAATTATTTTACTGACAGTATTTGAGAGAGAGAGAATGAAATACTGCTGTAGTTATTGGCATCTGCTGTAAAAGTTGGACCATTACTAAAGTAGTAAAAGAAAAGCAATTTTTTTCAGACATTTGGAAAATGTCTGCTGGGAGAAATGGAGAAAGAAAACATTTATTCTGTCAATAATTAACAGAAATAATGAAAATGGTAGGCAACATCAATGCCTGAGCTTTTACAAAGGTACAATCTATTCTGGATATTTTACTCATTTTGCTCATCAAACCAAAAACTCGTAGCAATGGCTACGAATTCAAAGCATTCAGGTAGCATTTTAAACACAAGACTGAATGATCTGGCTGCTTTCTACTC